CACAGGCTGTGGTGGAGTTTTGAAATGAAGCTAAACAATAGCTCCACCCCCTGGTATTATTGAGGTACTGCACACTTGTCACAGCTCCTCTTGACATAATTCACCTGAAAATTACAATTCTGTAATTTCCCCACTCTTAGGTCATTCAAAACTTGTATGACTTTCTTGAAACATAAAGGAAGATATATATTTTTTTTTAGAAAGGTTCCCATTGCTTGGCATATGATTGGGCTGGTTAGAATCTTTGAGTGTCTGTGATTGTTTATATATTTCTATATAAAGGGGTAGTTCATCCAAAAATGACAATTCTGTAATCATTTTCCAGGCACGGTGAAAGTATTATAAGTGTTCATATGTGCCGTTTTCCATTTGATATGAATGACTGAATAAATTTTTTTGGGTCTGTTCGTGAACGTGCATTTAGATTGAAATTGAATACAAGCACCCTCATCTGATAAATGATAACGGCCGTTTTCTTTCATTCACACAGGATACATGTTAGAGCCTGATCAAGAAGAGAGACCTGACATCTATCAAGTTTCTCACTTTGCCTTTCGGTTAGCTGGAAAGGAGTGTCCAGTGCCAAATCTTTTTGTAAGTTACTCACACATAAGCCTTGTTCAGACTGTCAGTCCAAATTCGATTTTTGTGCATATCTGACTGTAATCCATTTCTATTTAGCTAGTGTGAACTGCAGAAAAATTACATGAAATACAATTTTAAAAAATCCATTCTAAACCCATACAATCATGTGTTTTGAAATCCTATTCAAATCACATTTCCGACTGCTCATATTTCAGAGGCTTTTCAATGCTTTCTCATGCCACATAAAATGTAAACATGTCGGGTGTAAACATTGTTGCAGAAACAAGGTTGTATTGCGAAGTGGAGGTTGAGCAGAAAATTACAGTATTGCTAGTCAGCCTGGTCTACACAACTCTTTGAATTTTGAGACCGGTGGAGATGGCAGCAGTGAATAAAGCTGCACATTCCAGCCTCCTACAAGACTGCATGTTGACATAAGACAACGTCTGTACTGCAAACTGTATAGTTTTTTTTTTTTTTGGCATTGACACACCTACACAACATCATTGCCATAGAGACCAATACAGATATTGTAAAAAAACAAAAAAAACAAAGAGCACCACGACAAACACACAAATCAGATCTGAACAGTTGCTATACACAGTAAGGATAATCAATCATTTAGATCAGATTCTAATCGGATACACAAATATGGACACACAGTGGCCCTCATTTATCATTCTTGCGTAGAAACGGGTGTATATGTTGGCGTTAGATTATGCTTACACTCCTCTCACCGGCTGATTTATGAAGCTGTGCGTACCTTTGAAATCCAGGTGTACGCAATACCGGCCCTTGATAAATCCCGCGGCTGAAAACGATCGTCATTAGAATAACACGCCCCTATATATTCAAGTCTCCGCTTCCCCCACGCCCTCATTTTACGCCATGGACACACGGAAGACGGCAAAGAAGAGAAACTTCTCTGACGTGGAGCCGAAATGACCTATCACAATGCATTATTTTACAGCACGTCTTTTGAATTAGCATTCAATTTCGAATCACGTCACATGTAGGTGTACAATAGTGATGATGATGATGTGATGTGGACCATTCATTCACATTAATAATTGCATGACAATTTGTAATATTGTTCTTATTATTACCATTACCATTTATGATTTTTATTATTAATGACGCTTATTGTTATTTAGAAGAAGAATGTTGTTGTTATTATTATTATTATTTAAAAGAAGAATAATGTAATTTTTATTATTTTGTCAGTCTGAATTATCTTTTGGTCATTGAAAGCCTTTCATTACCGAACCCAGTCCGTGCGCACCTGCCGGGGATAACCCGTCAGGGTAAAGCACACAGGCTCGCAACTGAAGGAATACATTACAAATCAAATGCTTGGTAAAGTCACACAAATTAAAAATTGAAGTCCATGTTGCACAAAAATAAACACGGAAGTTTATAATTGTTGTTTTTTTACTGTGGGTCATAATATATCATATCTTTTAGTTTGTCAGTGCGTTTTGTGGTGTTAGGGATTGTTTTTTTGCGCATTTCCGCACTAACTCAAAACGTGCGTACATGTACACCACCTCCTGAGCTGGCGTAGGATTTGAGCGTGCCGTACGCCAACGTCCATATTGATAAATCTCAAAGTCACCGTGGTTTTGAGTGTACGCTGGAAATTTTGTGTACGCACTTTTGATAAATGAGGGCCAGTGTGAGTGTAGCCATAGATTATGGGAAGTTAATTGAATTGATAGTTATTTTTGTTATTCCCCTAGTATGATTCAGAATTCTAATTCAGAGGTTTTTCTTTTTCTGCCACACAGAACTCTCCCCTTCCCACCTCATTGCCGGATCCACTTACTGCTAGTGATATTGCTGCTAAGAAGAGCCTGACAAAAGCCAGGTAACATTAGAGCTTTGGTGTGTGAGCTTTCAGATTATTTGAATTCAACAAACCATTTAAGTAGCATGTTTTCATTTCTTTTTCATTAGAATAACAGATTCAGTTGGACCAACAGAAACATCAATCGCACCCAGGCAAAGACCCAAAGCTGCAAATACTAATGTTTTGCCCTTGTCCAGCTCTGTAACTCCTGTGAAAATGACTGTATCCTCAGAGACGGTTGGCAACGGCCAGAAAGGTGAACGATATAATCCATGTTTTCTTAAATATAGTCTGTGTTCTGTATTATTTTTTTTTCCTCTGGAGAAATAAGCTTTGACTGTATACGGTATGTGTGCCTGTCTCAGCTCCTGGAAATGGGCAGCAGTCGGCGGCGCAGATGCCGAGTAACAGTCAACAGAACAGAGTGTTACAGCAACTGCAGCCTGGTGACCTTCGACTACAACAGCTACATCATCAACAACAGCAGCAGCAGCAACAGCACAATATCCACCACCAACAGCAGGTCACTGCACAGCAGCTACAGTACATGCAACAGGTAATGAGTGCCTCAGGAGGTCAAGACCAGTCTTCTTTGTAAATATGTTTAAACAATTTCCTGCAGATCTTTAAAAATGACTATTTAAGCACAAGCGCAGATTCCAGGGTTCATTTCTGCATCAGATGCATATAATGTTTTATTTTTATTGACCCAGTTAAGGAATTGTGGAAAATCCCAGTGGCATAAATAGTTTTTGTGTGTGTTGTGACCTTCTATGACAGTCAGTAGATTCTTTTTTGGATTAAACATTGTGGTCTTCTGATGAGCACATGACTACTTTGTTTACACATGATAAACCACCAAGAATATGGTGGAACAGTTTACGTTCAGCTATTTTAGTTGTCTAATAAACATTACATAAATTTTTTATTTTGTTTAAGGAATGACTTCCTAGTTTGAGAACATTAATTTGATTGGTATTACATTCAGAAACAGCTCAAATCTGTGATCTATAATATACTCTGTAAATCCACAATAATACATTTGTCAGTATTGTCTCTAGCGTGTGTGTTTTTAATTTGACTATCAATGCACAGCTGCTGGTTCTCTGGTTAATCATGCATCTCTCTACGTCACAATGAAACGAGTAGATCTTTTCGTCCATATTGTGACGTACATGTACGATAAATGGATGATCAAGAAAAAAGAATGTAGGGTGGGGATTGGTTCTGTCCTTCGTTTTTTGATTGGATGAAAGCTTACAATCGATTGTAGGAAATGGGCAGGGTTAAAGTCGGTTAAATTATTGGAGAAGTCCTGCATATGTTACCAGATAGAAGTCGTTTGTTTCACTGGAACTAGAAGTTATGACATTTTGATGTACAAGTACGGGGAAAAAAAAGCATGGATGAATTAACAATAAGATCAACTCTAAAACTATAAGCAATCTTAAAAGATACAATCGCTGATTTTCAACCAGCATTGTTACAATGTCAGTAATCTATGTAAAGGATTATTTGTCAGCAAAAGTCATTAAAATGCATCATTTTGCTTAATTTTTCTGGTGAACTTTTGTTAAGATTGTTGATATTAAAATAAATATGAGCTCATGCGGTAGTCAAAAAATAGCAATAATTACACGCTTCAACTGTTTATTTTGTTAAATATCAACTATCTAAAAGGTGTGCATTATGACTTTAAGACATTCTCTTTAAATGCTATTGAAGTTAGAAAAACCTGTATACCCATGTCGTATGTAATTTTAGAGACGGTCCCTTAACTTGCAAATATTAAACGTTCAATGTCAAGCCAACTGTATGCCAGTATTTCACTGGAAAACGCTTGGCATGAAACTTTGCACGTTACGTTCGTATTCTGAATCTATCTGCTTGCCTGTTCTTATATAGTATAGCCTAAATTCCTAATAAGGTGCGAGTTTGGTCTTTTATATCACTGTATTAGTCCATTAATATAAGCGATGTTAAGCAATCCGAAGGCAGGGGAATCCTGGAGAATGACGTATTGAGGGAATCCCTAGTTCTGCAGCACAGCGCTGAGATAAAAGGTTAAGGGAAACTGAACAAACCGAGAAAAATATGTCTACTACCTCAGATTTAATGTTTGATCTGTACGTCAGCATCAGGGAATAGCGTTATAATCTCGTTCACGGTAGAGAAAGCTGCTTACATGTACAAAAGTAACCGTGAAGACTTAAATGTAAACACGGCTTTTGTGTCTTTAATCAGCTTTTCCATAACTAGTACTGGCCCTGATAATCATCACAAATACTGACCCGCTTGCTCCATTTCTGTAAATCAGTTTTTATGAATGAATGACTCTCACCCGTGCTCTAGGCTTCGTCAACAGCCGCTTGCACCCCCTGCTGGTGAGATCGACTACCAGCAGATGGAGATTATGAATCGGCAATCTATTGATATTCCAGCAGTTCCTGGATGTGCTATGTGGAATTTGCTGTCGAATTTGAACCACTGAATTTATGGAAGCGAATTGTATAGCGAAATAAAATGGACTGAAAATTGCCTGTCGAATATTATAGGTTGTATTTTT